AAGGAACAGCAGTAAATCCAGTTTGTTTGGGGCAAGGCTGAATTGATAGGAAGTGAGGTATAAGAGACCGTGGTCAGATTCTCTAGGGCTTTAAAGGCTAGGATAAGGACTTGGGACATCACTAGGAGTAAAACAGAAAGCTTGCCATCATTTAGAATTGCAATCACCTATACATGACTGGGATCCAGATAACAAAGGTTCAAATAGGATGATGTTTCAAGTGTGATATTGATTCTAAGACACAATCGACTGTAAGACATGCCATTATTATATGTACCATCAAGAAAGAAAAAAATGCTGCCAAGGAGAATCATAAACTGTCATTCCAAGATTTCAGAGATGTTGAAACATGAAGAGATGTACCTCTTAGAGTTGATTAAAAAATGGCATTTTTTTTCTCATGTAAGAATAGGTCCAGAGATAATCATTTTCCTGGCTGCAAGATGGCTACTCAGCTATAGTCATTATATCCTCATTTCCAGGAGGAAGAAGGAGAAACTGGGGGGTGGGGGGATACCTTTTATTCTTCTATATTAATTTTGTAAAAGTCTCCTCTTAAAAACTCACTGGAATTTTTATTAGTATTGCAGTGGATGTGTAGATCAACTTGTAGAAAACTGTCTGATGCCCAATGTACAGTGCTAAGTTGTAGATCAATATGTATGTTACAGTCCCAGTTATATTTCATAAAAAGGATAAATGTATATAGCATGCTTGTATTTGCCTAGAAAATTTCTTAAAGGGTACACAAGAAACTGGTAACAAGTGGTCATTTCAGGGGAATAGACTGGGTGTGATTGACAGGGAAGAGAGGGGCTTTAACTTTTCATGTTATGCCTTCTTGTAAAAAACTTTTTTAAAAAAACCAATATCGTACACATTACGTTTATAATAATCAATACAAACCAGCAACCTTAAAAGTGGAGTGTGCATTAACCTGGGGACACAGGTGGACTTTCCATGGGGTAAATAAGCACTTAGAGTTTTAATGGAATCGACTTCTTTATCCTCAATTTTCATATTTCATATTTCCTAAAATTGACCTGCCAGAGAACACATGTGTGATGGCAGAATCAAGCTGATTCTTTCCATCTCCTCTTTCACAATGGTCCTTTGTGCACTTTACAAAACAAAGCATTCCTTTTACCCATCCTGAATCTTACCTGAGTGCACTGCCCCACAGTATAAAATCCTCTGGGCACCAGAAAGACACTTCCAAACATGTTGTCAATGGTGAAGAAAAAAAATTGCTTTAACAAATGAATGGGGATCAAATCCTTTCGCAGTTCAGATGGCTTCCAATAAAACTGCAGGAAAACCCAATGGAGCTGTCAGCTGATAAGTCAGGGAAATAATTTTGAAGATAAATCATTGTATAATCCCCTCCCCCATAGATCTCTAAAGGAACTCAGAGACTTGAGTGACATTGCTAAAACAAATGTCCATTCCCATATACTTATTTATATAACTGACGTTTCTGTGTGCTAACATTTAGCCAAACAAAAAGGAGAAAGAGAATTGATGCTGAATCCTGTCTCATTCTAGCAATAAGCAATTATTTACTCATGGAAACACCCACTAACTTTTTTAAAAAAAATAGGCTTTTTCTGGGGCGCCTGGGTGGCTCAGTCGGTTAAGCATCTGACTTCGGCTCAGGTCACGATCTCGCAGTTGTGGGTTCAAGCCCCATGTCAGAGCCTGGAGCCTGCTTCAGATTCTGTGACTCCCTCTTTCTCTGACCCTCCCCTGCGCACGCTGTGTGTGTGTGTGTCTCTCTCTCAGAAATAAATAAAAAATTAAAAAAATAGGCTTTTTCTATCTCTAACACATTTTAATTTTTATGTTTAATAATTATCTATCAAAATTTGTAATAAACTTAATTTTTTGATCTGTCATATTCTAACATTAATTGTCATAATAACTCAAGCAGGAGTAAAATTTTTAAAAGATTTTATTTTTAAGTAATCTCTACACCCAACATGGGGCTCAAAGTCACAACCCTGAGACTGAGAGTCGCATGCTCCACTGACTAAGCCAGGCAGGCGCCCCAAGCAGGAGTAAATTTTTAAACAACCTTTAGAGCTTTAGGCTCACAGGAACATTTAAAAAGCATTTAAGTAGCAAAATATGTACATACAAATTAAATAGCAAAATATATTTCCCTGCAGGGAAATATAATAGGATTGTCAATAAAATAATTTCCAGTGCAAAAAGATACATTATTGGGGTAAAACTCTGTTAGAAGACTAAAATGGAATTGAGAACTTGGGGAAAAAAGGAAAAATATACAACTTCTAGCCATCAAAAAGAACTCCTTTATGAATTTTTAAAACAGATGATGGTGGCTCTGAAATCATTAAGGTAGTTGGGTTTCACTAGTTTCAGGTAAAATGGTGACATAACAGTTTTGTTTATGAATGTTAACATTTGTCAGAAATCACATTATTTGCAGCTGACGTTTTTGATGCAAAATTTTAATGTCAACCTAAAAATCTGTGAAGGAGCACAAGGTTAAAAAAATATATTTTTTAATGTTTTTTATTTATTTCTAGGAGAGAGAGAGAGACAGCGTGAGCAGGGGAGGGTCAGAGAGAGAGGGAGTCACAGACTGAAACAGGCTCCAGGCTCCGAGCTGGCAGTCAGCACAGAGCCCGACACGGGGCTCGAACCCACGAACCACGAGATCATGACCTAAGTGAAAGTCGGACGCTTAACCGACTAAGCCACCCAGGCGCCCCGTAAAAATATTTTTTAAAAAATGTTCATTATTGAAGAGAGAGAGAGTGCTAGGGAGCACAAGCGGGAGAAGGGGATGGGGGAGGGGCAGAGAGAGAGGAGAAAAAGAATTCCCGTGCTGACAGCACTGAGCTACCCTTGGGGCTAGAACTCACGAATACTGAGATCATGACCTGAGCTGACATCAAGAGTTGGACGCTTAACCGAATGAGCCACCCAGGCGCCCCCAAAAATATTTTTAAGAAAAAAAAATAGGACATCACTCCACCCTTGAAGGCCCCAGGTGTCCCTTCCAATCATAGTTCTCATCTGTTCTCAAGAAATAATCCCTCTCCTGACTCTTGTAATCAATCATTTTCCTGGTCTTCCTTACATTTTGACTATTCGTTTATGCATTCTAAAGCAATATGGCTTAGCAAACAAACAGAAAAGCCAGAGATAGACTCATATATACAGAGAACAAACTGGTGGTTGCCAGAGAGGAGGGGGGTGGGAGGATGGGCAAAATAGGTGAAGGGGATTAAGAGGTAGAAACCTCCAGTTATAAAATAAGTAAGTTACAGAGGATGAAAAGTACAGGATAGAGAATGTAGTCAATAACATTGTAATAACTTTGTATGGTGACGGGTGGTGACTATTTATCACAGAGAACACTGTGTATAGAACTGTATCATTATGTTGTACACCTGAAACTAACATAACATGGTATGCCAGCTATACTTCAATTTAAAAAAAAGATGAAAAAATATTTTAGAGTGTATTTTGATATAAACCGAGAGTTTTATGTATGTTTATGCAAAATAAATATCTGAGGAAGTGTCATATACTCTTTTGCCACCTTGTGGTCAGAACTGTGTTCAACCCCAGGCACCCCAGCTATATGAGGAGGGGTCTCACCTTAAGTCAGCCCCTTCTGCTAGCCTTCAGTCAGGTCGCTGTGAGGCAGACATGGTGACATTTGCCCATGACTGAATTGAGACACATGCAAGCAAGCATGAAGCATCAAAAGGATTAGGCTGGCACCACCCCCATCCCCACCCCTACCCCTGCACGTGATTCACGTTAAAAGCAACATGCAATCAGGAAAGAAATATAAGGAAGTACAACAAAATTCTGACTTTTCTCTTAGGGGCTACTTAAAAAAAAATCAAATGTCAAACTGTTTCCGATATTTCTTGATTCTTTTGTTTTTGGTGCCTATTCTCTGCTGGTGACCTAGACACTTCCTTCGTCTGCCTTTTGTGGAACCCAGCCCTGATTGTGGCCCTGGAACAAGTTTGTTTGGTTCAGTGCTGCCCATAGCCCCTAGTACAACAGGTGGCTCTGGGTTGGAACTTTTGAAAGCACATTTGCTGAATGAATGATAGCAAAGCATCTCCCCCACCCCCAGCTCCAGAACCTGCTGGACATGTGGACTTCTGCCAGAGGTTGGACAATAAGGTAATCAGGTTGCCTTGATTAGTCTTCAGGGGTAGACAGTCTTAGGTACACAGGGATCTTTAGGTCTCTTTGATGTCTGTCTGGGGAGGTGGGATGAGAGTATCTCCCCTGCATCCCTTGAGTCCATGGCTACAGTCATTTTTAGCAGCAGCATCAGGAGCAGGATTTCTTCAGTGAGTGTGCTAGTTGCAGTTCCTCTGGTTGCAGGCCACAAAGGGCAGGCATTTATTGGAAAGATGCTGGGGTGCTTCAAGGAATTGAAGCAAGAGTTGGATAAGGAAAGCAGTGCACCACGGCAGCTCTGGGGAACCTCAGCTGTATGGGAGCCAAGCATCTTATTCTCCTAAGGGTGCCTAATTGTTGACAAGCAACTCTCTCTGCTAACTCCAGGAGAGTTAGGCACCACCTCCTCCTGGCAGGAAGGGGCCAGGCTGAGAGGTGACGTCCAGTGCTAACCAAGGAAAACTCTGCTAGAGTATACTCGGGCAGCACAGCCCCATAGCCAGGCTGTGTATACGGGGGCAAGGCCAGCCATCACGGGACCCAGGGAACTGACTCTTCCTAGAACATTGACCATCTACTTCTTTTGAGCCCCCTCCTGACTCCTTGGGACCAGCACTTGTGGCCTCTTTTCAATGCCAGCAGCTCAGTGCAGGAGCTCCCAGACCTAGGCCCGCCCCCTCCTCCTGCTGGCTGCTCCAACTACTGAAGCTGCTCCCCACCCCCTACTCCCACCTGCTGCTGACCAGGGGCTCTGCCAGACTTGAGGGTCTTGGGGCGGTTTCTTCCCCTTTCTCAGCGGTAGGGAGGTGCCAGCAGTAGGCATGGCCTTGTCCCTTCTGCTGCCCCCGGGCGGCTCAGCGTCTGCCGGGGCAGAGGGCCAACTGCCAAATCCTCATCCCACCCGCGGCCTTCGGAGCCCGAGGAGGAGGTGAGGAGCAGGCATAGATTCTGCAGAGCACCAATAAGATGGGCAAAAGGGACGTGCCTCTCCGGGCCCAGCAGCCTTAGGAGCTCTGCCTCTCCGGATGTGGGGTCCAGGCCCGCCCCCAGAATGGACCTGGGGCTTCAACCTTATCAGTGAAGGCAGGACCTGGGATGGGAAGGAGCCTGGAACAGGGCTGGGGACAGGCTCAGCTATAGAGATGATGGCCTATCACGGTTTCTGACTGCTCCTCAGGACCTAGTCTCTGAGGGGACATTTCTCAGCTCCAGAAACCTTTCGGGACTTGACTATTCCTCCGGCCCCGGCCCCGCCACGCTGGGGGAAGCTGCATGGAAGAAGGGAAGGACGCGGAGAGGGGAGGAGACGATGAAGGGGGTCAGGGCTGCGATTGGAGCCGGGAACTGGAAGCGCCTTAAAGAGACTGCGCGGTCCCCGCCCCCCTTCCCGCCAGCCTCAATGAATTAGAGCTGTGTTTCTCAAACTTGCCTGATCATAAGAATCCTCCGAGGCCCTAGTTAAAGATACAGGTTCCGGAGCACCTCCCTTCGCGATTCTGATTCAGTAGGTCTGCGGGTGGAGCCGAGGAATCTGTAATTTTAACACGCTCCCCACGTGATTCTTGTGAACAAGCAAGTTTGGGAAATACTGAATTAAAGGAAACAGGGCCTGGCTGCCGAAGCGGCCTCCGCTAGGGGGCTGCGGCGGGAGGATTCCCGGGGGGCGTCGCCTGCTTCCGCCGCCGCCTCCTTCAGTGAAAGTCCCTTTTGGGTCCAGCTGTCACAGCCACCGCGCTCCCTCAGGCCGGGCGGGGGACACCCCAGGTCTGCGTGGCCCCCGCGCCGCCACGCCCAGTGGCCGCCTAAGCCCTGCAAGCAGGGGGAGGAGCCGCCGCCAGTGGAGGCGGAGGAGGTAGAGGAGGCGGAGACGGAGGAGACGGCAGAGAAGGCGGAGAGGAAGGTGGAGGCGGAGGCGAAGGTGGAGGGGAAGGTGGAGGCGGCGGGGAAGGTGGAGGCGGCGGGGAAGGTGGACGCCGCCGGGAACGTGGAGACAGCGGAGGGTCCGGGACGCCGGGCTGAGCTCAAGCTGGAGCCCGAACCCGAGCCCGTACCAGAGGCGGAGCAGGAGCCGAAGGGGGAGCTGAAGCAGGAGCTGGAGGATGAGAACCCAGCGCGGAGCGGCGGTGGCGGCAGCAGCGACGAGGTTCCTCCCCCCACCCTTCCCTCCGAACCCCCGCGGCCCCCCGATCCCTCTCCGCGGCGCAGTCGTGCCCCCCGCCGCCGACCCCGGCCGCGGCCACAGACTCGGCTCCGTACCCCGCCGCAGCCTAGGCCACGGCCCCCGCCCCGGCCCCGGCCCCGGCGCGGCCCTGGGGGCGGATGCCTGGATGTGGATTTCAGTGTGGGTCCACCAGGCTGTTCCCACGTGAACAGCTTTAAGGTGGGAGAGAACTGGAGGCAGGAACTGCGGGTGATCTACCAGTGCTTCGTGTGGTGTGGAACCCCAGAGACCAGGAAAAGCAAGGCAAAGTCGTGCATCTGCCATGTGTGTGGCACCCATTTGAACAGACTTCACTCTTGCCTTTCCTGTGTCTTTTTTGGCTGCTTCACAGAGAAACACATTCATGAGCACGCCGAGACAAAACAACACAACTTAGCCGTAGACCTTTATTATGGAGGTATATACTGCTTTATGTGTAAGGATTATGTATATGACAGAGACATTGAGCAAATTGCCAAAGAAGAGCAAGGGGAAGCTTTGAAATTACAAGCCTCCACCTCAACCGAGGTTTCTCACCAGCAGTGTTCAATGCCAGGACTTGGTGAGAAATATCCAACCTGGGAGACAACCAAACCCGAGTTAGAACTGCTGGGACACAACCCAAGGAGAAGAAGAATCACCTCCAGCTTTACCATCGGTTTAAGAGGACTAATCAATCTTGGCAACACGTGCTTTATGAACTGCATCGTCCAGGCCCTTACCCATACTCCAATCCTGAGAGATTTCTTCCTGTCCGACAGGCACAGATGTGAAATGCCAAGTCCTGAATTGTGTCTGGTCTGTGAAATGTCTTCGCTTTTTCGGGAGTTGTATTCTGGAAACCCGTCTCCTCACGTTCCTTATAAATTACTGCACCTGGTATGGATACACGCCCGTCACTTAGCAGGATACAGGCAACAGGATGCCCACGAGTTCCTCATTGCTGCATTAGATGTCCTGCACAGGCACTGCAAAGGTGATGATGCCGGGAAGGCCGCCAACAATCCCAACCACTGTAACTGCATCATAGACCAAATCTTCACAGGTGGCTTGCAGTCTGATGTCACCTGTCAAGCCTGCCATGGTGTCTCCACCACCATAGACCCATGCTGGGACATCAGTTTGGACTTGCCTGGCTCTTGCACCTCCTTCTGGCCCATGAGCCCAGGGAGGGAGAGCAGTGTGAATGGGGAAAGCCACATACCAGGAATCACCACCCTCACGGACTGCTTGCGAAGGTTTACAAGGCCAGAGCACTTAGGAAGCAGTGCCAAAATCAAATGCGGTAGTTGCCAAAGCTACCAGGAATCTACCAAACAGCTCACGATGAATAAATTACCTGTTGTTGCCTGTTTTCATTTCAAACGGTTTGAACACTCGGCCAAACAGAGGCGCAAGATCACTACATACATATCCTTTCCTCTGGAGCTGGATATGACACCGTTTATGGCCTCGAGTAAAGAGAGCAGGATGAACGGACAGTTGCAGCTGCCAACCAATAGTGGAAACGATGAGAATAAGTATTCCTTGTTTGCTGTGGTTAATCACCAAGGAACCTTGGAGAGCGGCCACTACACCAGCTTCATCCGGCACCACAAGGACCAGTGGTTCAAGTGTGATGACGCCGTCATCACCAAGGCCAGTATTAAGGACGTTCTGGACAGTGAAGGGTATTTACTGTTCTATCACAAACAGGTCCTGGAACATGAGTCAGAAAAAGTGAAAGAAATGAATACACAAGCCTACTGAAGTGACACAGACCTACCTGTAATGGAAGATGACAACACCTATACTACAACTGGCGTCGAGATTTAAAGGACCTACTTGCATGGCCCATGGGCCTGACAGAGTAAGAATTGAACAGTACCCAGTGTCTAAAAGGTCCTGGTTGGAAGAGAAGTAGACGGGGCGGGAGAAGAGGCTCTAATCTAAACAGTCACTTAAAGGAAAATTCAATGGCAGGAATGCTCTAGGTGGGAAGGCATGAGCAGGGAAATCCTGACACTGGTACATATCCTATATTCCTCCAAAAGATTGTGTGGGAAAGTGTGGGGTGGGAGGGGGGTGGTGTGGGGGGGTGTGTGCCCTTGTAACCGTAAAACATCTTTCTCCATGGGTGTTTCAGCTTCAACTGACCAATCACATAACAGTTATATGTTTGGGGGGGGGGAAGAAAAGTCTATACAAATGTAGCCCATTATGTATATGGGTCTGAAAGCAGAAAAGTGGAGGAGGCAAGGATATCTCATTGACAAACACCTTTGCCAGTTTCTTTGTATTCGTGATTTTTTGTGCTATTAAATGCAGTATTAAAAAGAAAAGCCCACAGGGCTAGTGAAAGGTGAAGAAGGAAGGGGGCTTGTATAAGGGGAGCAATTGCTCCAAACGTAGAGAAGACAAAAAAATACTGTAAGATAAGCAACCAACACAGACAGGCCTCAGCTAACAGTATAGTGTGTGAGTGTTAAAAAAAAAAAAAAAGCTGTATGATATACTTGAGCAAATCAATGAACCTCTTTGCGATTGTTTTCTCATCTGTACAGTGCAGATAATTCCTACCTTAAAGGGTTATTGTTAAAGATTAAATGATATAAAATGTGTCAAAGTATAAAGTAAAAGGCTTGGAACTTTGTAGGGGCTCAGTAAACGTTTGTTGGATCTGAAACTTCTTCGGACCAGGACCAGAATGCATCACAGGTAAGGGTCGGTCCGACCTGAGACCCATGGACAGAATGGACACACCTCATGTCACATGCAGTCACTCATGCACATGCACACATGCACACACAATTAATGACTCCTTCCCCAATGCTGTCTACTTGGAGCCCCAAGGCAATGGACTCCACCTTTGTCCCTAAGTAAGGGCATCACAGCCAGTGCCACACTGGGGATTAGGGGGAGAACTACAACTGTCTCCCAAAGGCCTTCTGTCCATTTGGAAGACCATCCTCCTGTTTTCATGACCCAGCACCCTGATGAGGGGACTCTCAAGGCCAGTAGGCTGCCAGGCCTCCGCATGAGAGTGTTGGCTGGTCTTTGTCTTCCACAAACATTAGGTGTGTGGCTGTCATGTTAACCTGCAGGCATGGATCAGTTGAAAGACTATTTTCCAAAGCTCTCTAGTCTACCAGCCCAGGGAGATCAATGGAGTGGCACACTGGCCTTTTCCCTGATTCTCCCTGAGGACAGAGCAGCCTGTAGAGGGCTAAGCCAGAACAGATGCAATGTATCCAGGAGGGGGTAAGCACTGGTGGTTCCTTCTTTTCTCCCTGACGTCAGGTACAAAAGTACCTATAACTTAGAAAATCTTGGTGGGGAGTGGGGTGTCTAGGGCTTGGATCCACAGGCTCGGGTAAAAGGCTGGCCCCACCCCCACCTCCAGGGCTTTGCAAGTCTATTTCATGGTCCACTCATTTGGAAATATACATTTATGTATGTGGTTGGGGGTACATTCCCAGCTAGCTCAAAGATGTTCTTTAGGACAGGGGTTGTGTGTCTCCTTCTGGACCCTGGGCCACACACTCAGCCCCTAGTACAGTTTCTGGCACATAGTAAGTAGATAGTCAAAACACGTGCCAGATGAATCAATGGACCAATGCACCTTCCTTTCATAAGAAAATTTTTGCCACCACCCACAGCCCAGGATCCTCAGAATATGTAAAAAGTGTTACCTTTGGTATCTTGGAGGGTGGGGGAGATCCAGGGATGAGTGGCCTTGGATGCCACTTGGCAACTCAGTGCAGGGCATCTGACTACTTTTTGGGAGGTGTCTGGTAGGCCTGCCTGGGAAGACAGCTATGTCATCATCCCTCATCTCTGCTGTAGGTAGCGTTCACTAAGACATGTGCCACCAGATTCTGACTGCTTGCAGAAACTGTCTCTGACATTTTTAAGCTTTCTTATTTGGAAATACTTTAAACATAGAGGAAAGTTGCAAAAATAAGAATAGTATAAAGAACACCTGTATGCCAGAATCACCTATTACTAACAGTTTTTACCCCATTTACTTTATTGTTTACATGAATGCACACCCTCATAAGTGTGCATGTGTGTATGTGTGTGTGTGTGTATGTCTGGATCATATGATGGTAGATTACATGCATCATGGCCCTTCATGACTAACATACTACAAGCATTGCCTAAAGATAGGCATGTTCTCTACATACGGTATAGTTAAGAGCTTCAATAAATTTCACATTGATGCAATACTATTATCTAATCTGCCATTAGCACTTCAATTTTATCTGCTGGCGCAATGATGTCCTTTACAGCATTTCCCTCCCCATCATAGGATCTGGTCTAGGGCTAGGTATTGCTTTTAGTTGTCAGGTTTAACCTGGAACATTTCCACAAACTTACTTTGTCTTGTATGGCATTAGCATTTTTAATAGAATGTTCCTCATTTTGGGTTTGTCTGATACAGAAACTGTCTTTTAAATACCCTGCACTCAGGAATAGTTCTAAGAGATATGAATGGCGCGAGACTGCTGAAGCTGACCTCCCTGTCTCCGCTGGTGGAAGGCACAGACCACCAGAGGGAGCAGCTGTGCCTGGCACTTCCTGATTGAAGCACGCACCTCCTCTGGGAAACACCATTGTCCCTCAGCAACAGGGGAGCCATTCAAGCCTAGTCCAATGCCCCTACCTGTCACCAACCCCCAAATTGAGCCACGGAGTGTAACAACAGCAGCCAGGGCCTGCTTTCAGATCATACCACCGTGGGACCCAGGGCATCATGTATTCAGCAGGTATGTGTTACTTTGAGCCCAGATGGAGATTCAGGCATGTCTGGCACATTGAGCAGACACCCCCATGGTGGGGCCTTTAGGGGGATCAGGATGGAACATCTTTGGCACCTTTATCAACATGCAAATGGGGGGCGCAGGGAGGGAAGCAGGGAAGGGGTTCAGTACTTTTTAAACACCTTCATGGGCAGAGTACATGAAGATGGGGTCTAGAATAAGGAAAAACACGGGAGATGTCAAAAACAGATGGGTTTGTGACCTACTGGGGACTTTCAGACACAATTGGGGTATTTTACATGATGCCTGGAATTCCTGTATGAGCAGATGTGGGCAAGAGCTGGTGAAATTTAAGCTAATTTTTAACTGAGACTTCCATCTACTTCCACTAGCTGGTAAGGCCAGGGAAAATCAGTTCCCATGTAGATTTATGATCGGGGCCCAGAAAGGCACAGACAAAAGGTGAATACTCACAAGTGGGGTCTTATCCACCCACAGAGCTCAGAATGAGGGACCAGACCAAACAATGGGGTATTTACCTTTCACCAATCATACATGCCTCATTTGTATGTAGTTTTTTTTGGCCTAACCCAGTTGAAAATTCAGAACGTTACTACTTCCCATTTCCTGGAGTAGCCGAATACTGAAACTTACTCTGGCGCACAGTTCACATACATAACTGCCTCACTTTTTCCCCATCCACAGGGAATCCTGATCAGGGATGCCATCAACCAAGAGGTCTTTTCCAATCAAGAAACAGAGTGTCTCCCACACAACTGATGTTGTCATAATGCAGTAGATCCAATGCCAGGAACCTTTATTTGCACCAAATGTACTCAGTGCTCACAGCCGTACCTCATTACACAGTGACCTTTCCCTGCAGGTGATTCAATACCAGTTTTTTAAACTCATGTATTCAGGTGTCAGATAGATAGGAAAATGCATATATCATAAGGGTACAACTTGATAAATTTCTAGAAAATGAACAGAGCTGTGCAAACAACATCCAAATCAAGAAACAGAACATTATCCATAAGTCAGGACCCACTTCTTCTTCCTTCCAGTCAATAACCCCAAAGAGTAAACACTATCCTGACTTCTTTCATTGTAGATTAGTGTTGCCATTTTGTGCCTTCTATAAAAGGAATGGTTCAGTATGTTTACTTTTATGTCTGGCTTCTTTGGCTCAACATTTTATGAGCTTCAGATCTGAAGTCTTTTTGTCAAGAAAAATTATGAGGAGTGATATTATTTCTTTCTAATGAACCAAAAGTAAGAATCCATACTCTTCCAAGTGATTTCTGACATATTGAATCAATTCAAAGGGACATAGGCCATTGCAAAGGTGGACCTTGAGAGTATCTAATCTCAGGTATAAGAAAATAGTGGATGGAAAATAGTCTTCCAGAGAATCTTGGGATATTTAAGTACCCCAGAAATGTTAATCTTCGGTCCTGCTCTAATAATCTTGGACCTCAGCCTTGATCCAGTAGCTCTATTGGGATACTCTATTCTAGTAAATCCTCAAACTTTAACGTGCAGCAGAGTCATCTTGAGGGCTTATTAATACACAGATGGCTGGGTCCTGCCCCTAGAATTTCTGATTCCAGTAGATCTGGGATGGGGGCTTGGGAAATTGCATTTCTAATACATTCCTAGGTGATGTTTCTGGTTCTGGGATCACACTTTGAGAACCAGTGTTCTTTTCGGTTTACTTTCACACAAACTGATACTCAGAGCCCAAGAAGGCTATGAAGGTGCTCCAGGGAGCACCTTGGAGAGCATCTTGGGGAACAAGGGGGTAGATAAATTTTAAAAAATTAATGTTTATTTGTTTTTGAGAGAGAGACAGAGGGAGACAGAGAATCTGAAGCAGCCTCCAGGCTCCAAGCTGTCAGCACAGAGCCTGACAGGGGGATTCCAACTCTCAGAATCACAAACTGGAAGATCATGACCTGAGCCAAAGTTGGGAAGTTGGATGTATAACCAACTGAGCCACCCAGGTACCCCAATGGGGTAGATAAATTGGTGAAGATCAGAAACCCTTTTTTAAAATGTTTATTTATTTATTTTGGTGAGAAGAAGAGGAGGAGGAGGAGAAGGAGGGGAGAGAGAGAGAGAGAGAGAGAGAGAGAGAGAGAGAGAAAGAGAGAGAGAGAGAGAGAGGGGGAGAGAATCCCAAGCAGGCTCTGCTCTGTCAGCGCACAGCCCAATGTAGGGCTTGAACTCTGGAAACATGAGATCATGGACTGGGCTGAAATCAGGAATCAGATGCTTAACTGCCTGAGCCTCCCGGGCATC